CGGCCCGCGCACGAGCTCGTCCAGCTTCTCCCGCTGCTCCCGCCGGTCCGCCTTTCTCTCGTGCCGCAGATCCTCCGCCGCCTCCCTTCGCGCGCGCGCCGCGTCCTCGGCCCTCTGCTCGCGCGACACCGCCACATCGTCGAGGCTCGGCATCCCCGGCCCCGCCCTCGCGCCAGTAGCAGCCCCCACCCTCGCAGACGGCGGCAGCGAGGGCCCATGTCCTCGTCGTCGTCGCTGTCGGTCCCGCGCCCCGCGCCTCGGGGCTCGCCATCCTCGAAAGCCGTCGTACGGGCAGCAGCAACACGCTGCTGCTCTTCCGCGCCATAGTTGTCACCGTCACGCTCGCCATCGAGCCCAATCTCCCGCGCCCGCTCGAGGGCCGACCCAAAACATGCGGGGGTCATACCAAACCTTTCGCTCAACGCACCGTCGTTCCACTTTGCCGACAAAACGATTTTCCACCGCTCGGCCCCCTTCGTCTCCTGAATGTCGCGCCCCTTTTGCAGGTCGAGATAGTAGGCGAACAGCGGGCGGAAGGCGGCCAGGTCCGACTTGTGCAGTGGGCGGGCTTCAAAGGGGAGCTGCTGCCGCGCGGGCCGTTCGCGGCGGGACGAGCGGTGTTTGTGGTGGTGGTGATGCTGTGTCTCGTGGCGGCGCGAGGTAGAGGCGTCTGGGGAGCGGCGGCGGTGGTGGTGGGAGCGGCGATCATTGTCTGAGGCGCGCGGCGAGCGGGAGCGGGAGCGGGAGCGGGAGCTCAACGCGCCCTGGCGAGCGGCTTTGGTGTGCTGGTCGCCGTTATGGCCTGGCATATTTGGTCCCTTTCTTATGATTGGTCTTGCTTCCAGGGGAGGGAGGTTAAAGTCGCGCGAGATGCGAGCTAACGTCAAGTTGCTGATGTGCCAGATCTGGCTTGAGTCGAGTGTTGTTGGTATGTCGTTGGTCGCGTGAGTGAGAGCATGTGTCTCACGACGATCCCAGCTTGGATGGCACCCGTCACTGGAACCTTTGTCTTCTGGCTCAGTGTCAGTGCGTTGGCTGCTTGGTCGATCGGATCTTTCGTCCCAAGCGTCATGCAGATCTGTTCCGTTTCACAGATGTTTGAAGAAGAGACGATGACGTGGGAGAAAGAACTGGCGTCGCAGCGTGGTTGGGATGAGGCGTCGTCTTGCGTCTGTGCATGAACGGCTGGCGAATGTTTCATCCAGGTTGCATTGGGGATCATCGTTATGTGGGGGATATGCACTGAGTGGGGCTTCGTGCCACTTGCGGTCCATCACCACATGGACATCTCTATATGCTACCTAGTTGTTTCTCCTCTCGTTCCCACTGTTCAAGGGTATCGATCATCGTCCTCCATGACAAAATGAAGCATTCGTTAAACCGCGACCGTGCGACCCCATGTGCCAGTATATGTTAAATGCCCATCATTTCATACCAGCAAATGTCATTATGTACCCCTCGTTTTTCTCAATCGTCCCCGCCATTTATGCCTCCGGCACCGGGACCGTCGTGTTGTTGTGTATCGAACAACCCAAGCACTGGCAGTCATCACCACAAGGACAGAAGGCTGTCTCTCCCGAGCAGGAATCCCCACCGAATGGATAGTTGACGAAGAAGAAGTCATTGGCGGAGAGCTCCTCGCCCACGCCAGACGTCGCATCAGAAGGCGTCTGTGGGGCCGTAGCCGATCCGCTCACCTCGCCATCCCGAGACTGAGGGAGGTCTGAGGCGCCGTGAACCCCGTCAGCGTGCCCGTTGGTTCCGTTGGCTCCGCTGGCCCCGTCGTTGCCATTCGCAACGTGCAGCCCATGGCCGTTGGAATGATGGTAGGAGTCCTCCACCATGCTCTGCCAGGCTGAGCGGACGTAATCCTGCGTTGCGTTGTTGTATGGGTGAGCTGCGCAGCCGACACACTGGCAGCCGTCGCCGCATGTGCATTCATGCAATGTCCCCATGCCGCTTACTGGCGAAGCATTCTGACCGTAGACCATCGGCGTCGACATGTCGTACGACCCATTCGCAGGCAGAGCCTGTCGGTACTGCAACGCTTGCATCGTCTGCCGCCACTGAGCGGGCTGGAGTGGCGTCATGTAGGAGCCGTAGCTGGCTGGGTAGTGGAAGAGCGTCGGCTGGGGGTAGTACTGCTGGAACACCTGCGACGCCAGGGCCGGGGGCGGCTGGAATGGCGGCATGGCCACTCCGTTGATAGGCGGTAGCGGCGTTCCGTTGAGAGTCCCATTCGTCGTCGGGGGCGGGCTCTTGTTCTTCGACGAGCAGCAGCTGCCCGTGGTGGGTTTCGGGGCGACCTTTGGGCTGGATTCGGTGCTGGCTGGCGGAGTCGTTTTGGCGCTCTTGGCGCCTCCTGAGCAACAGGAACCGCCTCCGCCATTCTTCGGGCTGTCTATTGCCGAGCTGGCGGTAGGAGGCTTCGGCGCGGCCATGGTCGCCCCTCCGGACTGCTTTTGGACGTCTGGCGGCAGCATGATGGGTGGCATGGGAGTTTGATACATGGGGAACACCATATGACTCTGCAAGATTCCATCAGGTCCCATCATGGGCATTTGGCCGTACTCCATGCTGGGCCTGGGCGTTGGCATTCCCATGGCATCCATGCCGCCGTTTAGGTGTGGTGGTATCGTCTGAGCTGCGTCAAAGGTCGGGATAATGTTGAACTGACTGCTGTCGATGCGGTCCAGTGTGGCGGGTCCGAAAGACTGTTTTCGGCTGTTGGGTTTGCTGCTTTGCTTCTGGACTCGGTACGATGCACTCGACACGGTGGAGGACCGAGCTGGCGATGTAGGAACGGCCTCGCTGACGGGAGACTCGACTTTGATAATGTCGGAGTCAGCGGGCGTCGACGGGCCGCAGTTACACTTCTGCTTCCTCGGGATGGCGGCCGTCACACTACCACAGCCGCAGCCACGACTCGGCGGGTGTGGGCATGTGCTGAGAGGCCTGCCGGGTTTCCGCACAGGTACCATGAGGCGCTCGTTTGCGTGCGTGCATTTGGTGGAACGATGGCCACGGATACATGGCTCGCTGCAAGGGGGCGGGTGACAGGTCAGTGGGGTGGTTGAAAGTAGGAAAAGAGGGCGCTTTGGAGATTCGACGGGGGGGGGGGGAGAAGGCTTCAGGAAAAAGAAGGCCTTAGGAACGATGACAAGGGATATATGAAATGAGGTGTGAACATACCAGGCCATCTTCTGACCGTTGATGAGCGGCATGGTGGGCTGATTCTGAGATGTGTGTCAAGAGGAGGATTGCAATCACCAAACCAGACGATTGTCGATCAAGGCGAGAGGCCGCCGACCAGAGGGCGGCGAGTGGGCGTGAACCGGGGGCGCAGAAGGGCTATTGACGGAGTAGGCGTCGTGATCGTGATCGTGGATACAGACAATAGGCAAAGTTGAGCCCCGACGCACGTACCAGAGCTCTTGTCGCAGGCGAGGGCCAGAAGCTCGGTTTTCGCGCTCTCCGTGTTGATTCGGAAGGTATCGAGCAACGTCGGGTTGCGGAAGGAGGTCGCAGGGTAAGAAACGCCGAGAAAGTTTGTCGAAGGGACGGGGGAACGGACGGAGAAAACGCGGTGCACCGTTGGATGGCCGATGGATGAGAGAGGGGGGGGTTAATCTCCAGCAACGGCAAGGCAAGGCAAGGCGAAGCAGAGGCAGAACATGGATGAGCAAGGCGCGGCCCCACGTGAGGGGAGGGAGGGGGGGCACAGGTAGTGGGCGGGTATCTTGCGCGGTAAGCAAGTAGAAAGTCGACCTGGTGTTTGGCGGCACGGCTCCTGAGGGACGCGGATCAGGGTCCTCCTCACATAGGCTGGTAGCCTTGTGTGGAACGTTAGGAAGTGTAAGCGGGCAGCTGGCGATCGGGAAAATGATGGTCTGGTTCTCGTCGGGCGAGCGTGCGCACGAAAAGGCGTAGGCAGGCCTGAGAGGAGGGGAAGGCGAAAGTCGGCAGAGGTAAGTAAGGGTCTCAGGTATCACGAGGAGAAAGCAGGCTAGCCTCCTGGATCTGTCCCGGCGGCCGATGGCGTGGGGCGGCGCGGTCTTGGATTGCGGTCGGACAGAGAAATGTTGGTGCTGGAGCTGTTTTTGGCTGGCTCGCTGTTCTTTGGTGTTGTGCGTTCGTTTCGTGCCAGGTAGTCAAAAATGGCTACCAAGGTGGGCGAAGGCGTGGACTTTGACGGAATAGCGTCAGGCTGTAGAGACACGGGATAGCGGGTGATGAGGTCAACGCATGGTGCAATGATGTCTCCTCTCACGCGCGAGCACCCTCGCTATCTCCCCTCTCTCTCTCTCTTTGCCTCTCTGACACAGGCGAGGACAGGGAACGGATGAAAAATCGGAGTTGCTGTTCAAAGGCGCCGGCGCTCGCAGTTGGAGGGGGGGTGGTGGTTCTCGACTCGGCTGGGGACGGGGGGGATGTCGTGGTGAGACGGGGATGAGAAAGCATCGATCAAGTGCGGCCCAGAGCCTGGAGCTGGAGGGGGGTGGGGTTGGAAGGTGGGACCCAATCCGGCCCTCCCTGCCTGCCTGTTCGGCCCCCCAAAAGACCCCTGAAACGAAGGCCGACGGAGGCCTAGAGGCAGTAACTGTGGGCAGGAGCTGGCAGGAAGCTGGCAAGCCTCCCCCACCCACCCCCATGCGTCCTTGCCGCAAACAGGCAAACGGGTGTCCGAACAGCAGTGACAAGGGGTGCCCAGCAGACGGAAGTGAGCAAGTTTTCGGGATTGGGTGCACTGACAACATCCGTTCCTCGACTCCACCTGAGGTCCGTCCTGGTCCTTGTCCTCGTCCTGCTCTTTGCCTCAAAGACTTTGCCAACACCTCTTTTCACTGCTAGTGGAAGGACAGTCGTCGTCCAACGTGCCAGTCCACGGCGATCCCAAACCGCCGGTTGAATCCCAAGAGGGTCCCTTGTAGACGCCATTCCCACTAGCTATGCGGCAGACCATCTCGCTTCTGCTTTGAATACACCACGGCACCGGCTCGGAACTCGGCCCATCACGGCCTTCACTGCATGGGATGGATGGATGGCTTGTATGTGCGTGTGGGTTCAGGTGCGGGTGCGGGTACGGGTGGTAGAGAATGTGAGCAGGTTGCCATGTCGTCTCTCCGCCCGCCCCTCCGTCATCCGCTCTGGCTCGCCAGCGAAGGGGGTTGTACATTCATCCATGTCATCCCTCTTCCTCTGACGTCGGTCAATCCTACCTTTTGTCGCCGTTGTCCCAAACCAAAGGTACCGACAGCAGTTCGGGCCCAGAAGAAAGATGACACTGATGTTGACAAGATTGTCTACAGCCATGGGTCACGTCACACGGGCACCTCGGCCATTGAGCTGCTCCAATATCGAGTTCGCTATCCATTCACGAGCGGCCCTACATCATCGACGGTGGCGGATTTGCAGCATCTTAGAAACTTACACTCCCTTCACGAAGTGGCGTTATGCTGACCTCCAGGGTCCCAACACTGACATGCACCTCACTCTATTCATCCTGGTTGGCCATCGGTCTTGGGGACCCAGGTACCGCGGCCGACCCTTGACCACTGCATATTTTGTAACCGGAACCGCTCCATTGGGGGTGACCTCAGCCAAAGTCCAGAAGAGGCAATTAAAATCGAAGGCTGGCTCCTCATGGTGTCTGGGTATCTCGCCTCGATCATATTCCGTCGGGGCATCAAACGCGGGAACATGTCACACGCGTGTCGAGCGGCTGCTGCAGATTAACGGTATTAGCAGCCCACCACCAACCAACCCAGGATCCCTTTTCCCGTCGCAAAACCTCTAGTCCGAGTCGCCAGATTCCGCGAACATGTCCACGGCCCTCATTCGCTTCCTCCCTGGCCCAGAACCTGGGGGTATCACCTGCGCATTCCCGCCTGCCTGGGAAGACGCCTCGAGTGCTGCAGTGTCTCGTCTTTCGCCATCAATGTGGTCTCCATTGGCTCGCTTTCACATCGTCTCCATTGATCGCCCTCGACGTCTCTTCATCCATCGGTTCGC